GCACGGTCATTTTGATAATAATAATAACAATAATAATATAAATAAGGAGGTTGGGAGTTAAATAAAAGAACAAATATTAATAATATCAATAAATTAATTTGCTATATAAAAAGGTCACAACAAAAATAAAACTAATTTTACACAAAAGAAATAAAGTGATCTGTAGAGGGTTTGCGTTTACGTCAGGATTTATCATTCGTTTAATTTGATATAACTTTTGTCAGCATATAGTACTAGAAATGTTCCCGTTTAACTATTTGTTCTGCCCAAAACACAACAACAATGATCATATTCAGCAGAAATAATCAGCTAAACACGCGAGTTTGGTTCAATTCAGTAGCTTTGTTTGTGTTTTGCTCTCCAATATGGCCACCATATAATGCATCATCATAACAAGTCTTTTTTCTTATTTACAGCCTTTGATCACACAGGGATTAAAAGGATTTACACTAAACATTACACACTTTACATTGTTTTAATGAAAGACACTACAGAGAAAAAAAACCTTGTGATTTTAGGCTTTTTTTTTTGCATGTTTTTTAAGTATGAATGGAAATAAAACATTATAAATACACATTTACGTTTCTTTTTTTTCTTTTTACACTGTATTAATTTGTGTCTGTACATTACAGAGAACGTGTGCATTTATAAAGGATGCTTTTAGTTTTTTTTCTGCCAATCTGAGCAATAATCTAAATTTCAGCAGCACCAAACTGCAGATTTATTCCCATTAATATAATCGAATTACGCTCACACAGCTTTACAGTTTCACTCCTATCTGTATTGTGAAGGTTCTAGAAGAGGGATTCATCAATGAATAATTCAATGTTTATTTTATTCTACTAAAAAAAAAAAAAAAAGTTTTCTGATTGTTTACATCATTTTTGGAGTGATTAAAATATCCAAAAGAAACACTTCATGTCAATAAACAACTGAAAAAAGAACTTAATCCAACGTTTCGATTTTGGAACTGGAATGTATGCAAAATAGCGTGTTTAATTAAACAATGAATATTCAATTTGAATATTTAAATATATATACAAAACTCGCCAAATGTTTGAAATTCGTAATGTAATGTTAACTGCCATACGATTTATCTAAACATGCTAAAATGAATGTAATACTCGGTCATCTCTGCAGTTTTTATTAAAACATAAACTAGCATATTATTCAATCAGTCTCAGTCTAAATACTCGCGGTGAACAGCGCCCTCTGGGGGACAACATCAGTCACAACCGAAAAAAAGGCAGTCAATTTCAACGTTTTTTAATTAAATGATGACAAACAGCTGCTTTAGTGCGTTAATATGCTGGGAAATTCGACGATTAAGGTTTATTCCGGTGATATTAATGACTATTGATCATATTTATACAATCTTATCACTCCATAGCTACCCCAAACAGGCGTTGAAGCAAGTGTTTTCATTTCGAGGCAATTAAAGCTGATTTCGGGGCTTCAATATACTTCTTAGTGAGTGATCTCTAAACAAAAATTAACTCCAAACTAAGTCTGACTTGTTAGCTAATCAGCAGCTAGCGGACATGTATTCTAATATTTAGATTTTGTATAGTGTGTTTGTCTTACCTTCATGTGCACCCCTCGCATCGCTGCGATCAATCTGAATATTTATTTTACTATAACACAAAACCAAACTTGAGATATTTGTGTAAACATGTTGTGAAGGATCCGTATTTCGCGCCATTCCTGTCAGAGACCCGCGCGCGCGTTCTTTCTGCTCATGCGCAGTTCCAGTCATAGGTTAGCGTAAGATCCTTATGATTACCTATTTATTAAATAGCTTGCATGTTTTAGGCATCAATCGACCCACCTTGTTCAACTCGATCCAATATTTGTTAAATACACACTCGTAAATCTAAATTATATTATTGTTTGTGTGTATAGAGCCTTTAATCGGCATGTTAAACACCATGACCTCCTCACAGCCAAATAAAATAACAAATAATCCGCATTTTACATCGAAAACGTTTATTTCCCTGTAAAAACGACAGTATAGAGATCCTAACGTCAAACCATGGAAGCCCTATACATGCTTTAATGGATCTTAAAGTATATCAAAGGTCCATATATGATGTCTGTTATCACCGCAAAAGAAACCCCATTCACTTTTAAAAAGAGAGATCAAGCTTATTTTGCTCATTTAAAATCTTGACTGTCATTTAAAACTAGTATTTGGGGTATTATCATTGTTCAAAATAAGCCTGAACATGTAATTAAACCAAAATAAATGCATATTGAGGGACAAAAATAAACTCCAGAGCTCCCTCAAAACCCGCTAACAATGGAGAAAACAATGCTCTTTATTGGTCATAAAAAAGAACAGATGAAAACAAACAGGTTTCACACACACACACACACACACACACACAGGCAAGAGTTAATGAAGAAAGAAGGCTTTTACTGATTGATTTCAGCCTCCAGACGGACGTTTTCATGTCATCTAGTGTGTTCTAGACAGAACATGACAACCTGTGCGTGCGTGCGTGCGTGTGTGTGTGTGTGTGTGTGTGTGTGAGAGAGAGAGAGTAAAGAGTGTATTTGTATAGATTTTCTTCTCCAAAATAATCATTCGAAAAGAAAACAAAACAACATAAGAGGGTGGGAAATGATGAAAACGCCGCCACTCCTCTAATCGTCGTCAAAGTTCTGTTGTAAAAGGAAGTTTGCGGCCAAATTTTCATTCTTCTCACAAGCGAAATAGGCCTGTATAACGAGTCCTTCAGGGAATCCGAGGGCTTTTAGCTGGAGGAAACACAGAGGAAACACATGGAGAGGTTAGAAATATAAAAGCTAAATCTCCTGGTGTCCGTTTGGGGAACAGATTCAACACCTTTGATCGTCTGCCAGCACTGATGCTCCATCTGTATATCGCTTTAATTAAAGTCTAATTAGTTGAACTTGACTTTAAAAGTATAAGTTGCACTCTTGCGGAGAGTTAAGCCAGAGAAAGTATAGTTAAAGATAAAGATAATAACAGCTTGCAGAGGTTAATCGCTGGAAAAAGAGGACATTTAACCAGTGTTTTTTATTTTAGAAATTATTAAATAAAGCAGGGAATGTCAACAAGGTCTCGATTAAATATAAAACTACTTGTTTTTAAGTGTTTGAGTGTGTTTTTTCTTGTAAAAAAAATTATAATTAATTAAATACAGTCCAAGGCTAAACTTTTAAGTGCTGTTTAGGAGAGATTTGTCAACATTAAACAATAACTTTGGTGTTTTGAGCAGCTTTTTTGTCCAAAATGTATTAAATAATTGTAGAAAGCAGACAGTGTAAACAAGGTCTTGAGGGAATGTAAAGCTAATTGAGTTTAACTTTGTCGTTTCTTGTAAAAGAAAAATAATTAAATACAGTTTAAGACTAAATTGAAGTTATTTTGAATTATTTAATATTTCTAAAGAGCTGTTTAAGAGAGATTTGTCATCATTAAACAATACCTTTTGTATTTTGAGCATCTTTTTGCCGTTTGTAGTACAAATTAAATTAATTATAGTTGAAGGCAAAAGGTTAATTATTTTACTACTTTAAAAAAATATAATTGTTTCTCAACATTTTTAATTGATACTTTTAATAAATTATTTATGATGACTAACTTCTTTTGGATTATTTAAGTTTCCTTTAGTCCAAAATGTATAAAATAAGCAAGAAATGTAAATAAGGTCTGGATTAAATGCAAAACTGTATTTTGAGTTTTTGTTTCTTGTTTTAAATTAATACAATTAAACTCAGTATAGCTAAAGGCTAAATGAAACTCTTAATACTTTAGAAATTAGTTATTGTTTAAAAATGTTGTAAAAAAATTCTAATTTCATCATTTTCAATGACTAACCTGTTTTTTGAGGGTATTTTAGTTTGCTGCATCTTGTTGTAAAACATATTAAACAACAAAGGCAAAATATAAATTAATTATTTAATTTCAGGTAACATTTAAGATATTTTAACTTTAAACAATAACTTTAGTATTTTTGAGTCTCTTTTTGTGGTTTCATGTAGCAAAAATGAATAAAATTAAATTAAATACAGCTGAAGGCAAAAAATGTAAATTATTTTAATAAATGTTTAAACAAAATCTTTATAATAGGTTCAACTATATATTTTATTTTGTAATGTAATTATTTTATTTTGTATTATTTGAGTATTTTTGTTTTTTGTTTTTATTAAATCAATAATAATAAACAATAAATGTCTCAATTGAACATAAAACTGTATTTTGAGTATGTTTTTGTTAGTCTTTTCTTGTTTTAAAAATGAATACAATTAAATTAAATATAGTTTAAATATAGTTAGAAGGCTAAATTATTACATTATTTTAATACTTAGAGATTAGTTATTAAAAGTAGTTTAAAAAATCGATATAATATTTTTAATTTAGAGAGTATTTTTTATTTTGCCGTTTCTTGTTAAAGATATTATCTTATTAAATAATATCAATATATTGATTACAGTCCAAGGCAAAATTTTAATTAGTTTAATTGTTTAATATTTTTAAGGTGCTGTTTAAAAGAGATTTATCAACAATTAAACACATTTTTAGTAGCTTTTAATTTGCTGTAAAAGTGAATTAAATACAGTCAAAGAAAACTTTAGTATTTTAAACAATTAAAAATGTTGAAAGAAAACTAATATTTACTTTTACTTTGTAAAAATAATATTTTTACAAAACTTTAATAATTAATTTCTAATGACCAACTTCTTTTGTATTTATGAGTATTTTATAACTTTGTTGTTTCTTGTAAAATAAATTAAATAAATACATCTGAAGACATATTGATTTTAGTTCAAATATATTTAACCAATGCTTTTAACAAACTGTTTATTTATATTTTCCTTTTTAAATAATTTCTAATAACTCATCTCTTTAGCATTTTGAGTATTTTTAAATTTGCTTTAAATTTTGTGTTGTAAACATGTAAAATTAAATACAGATGAGTGTTCAAACATCTTTAATACTTAATTAAAATGAGGGCGAATAATAAAGAATAAGAAATGCTGCACTGTGACTGTCAGTGTCGTTTTACCCGCTCAATAGCTTCTTTCTCCTGGGGTGTGACTTGGATGTAGTTCATGTGCCCACCCCCAGCCTCAGCCACACCCCCTGCCCCACCCCCTTGTCCCGCCTCCTGCACTGGCTCATTCAGCATCTGGATGAACTGCTCCTGGTGGCTGCTGATTTGCTGTTAAACAGGAAACACATTTCTGAGGACAGATCGCACACCTCGCATATTGAAAACCTTAATTACGTGTACTTCACATTCATTAGGATCTGACCTCACGATCTGTCAAGACATAGCTAAGCTAATGATTATACACACACACTAGCTGGAATAAAAAAAAAAATATATATATGCATGCATGAGTGAGTATGTGCGAGTGTAAGTATGTGTGTCTCTGTGAGTATGTATTGAGCACCTGCAGGAGCTGTGGGTTTTCCCTGCCGATCTGCTGCAGTAGAGCCGGGAGCAGTGACGGGTTCTGCTGGATGATCTGCCTCATCTGCAGGAACTGCGGCTGGTTCCTCAGGAACTCCAGAGGGTTCGCTACACACACACACACACACACACACACACACACACACACGCACACAAACAGTAATGCAATTAGACTGAGTGGCTACTGTGTGAGCCCTGACAGAGCTGGTATTATGGGGTCTGTGTGCGAGTGTCAGACCTCCGGATGCTGAGCTGGGCTGTGCTGGAGCTGTGCTGGACGGAGAGGAGAGACCTGTGGATATAGCAGGAGCTGGAGCTGAAGCTGGAGTGCTCCCTGAGGGAGACACTGCATCCACTGCACCCACAACACTGCCCTCACCCTCCGCTGGGATACCCTGAACACACACACACACACACACACACACTCAATATTACGCTCTGAGGTTATTATTCTGTTCATCAACACATGCTTAAGTATATGTGAACCACTGAACAGAACCGTTCAATACTGGATTTACACAGAATTTCTCAAGTTGAATTGAATACCTTTTACTACCTTTTTAATACCTTAAAAAAATGTATACCAGCACGACTTAGAGCTGCAACTGTAGAGGTGTAAATGAAATATCTTTCCAAATGGAAGAACATATTGCAGATAACATAGATTTAAGTAAAGCAGAGAGATTCATCAAGATGTCACAATCAGCCTTTGTCCATAGTTTAATCAATGTCATGTCATCAATTTCAATAGCTGCTCTTTTAACAACAGTTCGGTACGGTTACAGTTGTTTCTACACTGAACCAGGAATGGCATGGCATGATTATAAACCGTTCTCGGCATGGTTAGACAATCGTGCTGAACTGTGCCAATAGATTCTGTGTGGCAGAGCTCAAAATGAACTTTTCTACTTGGCAGCACTGGTGTTCCCAACTTCCCGACTTCAAAAATTTAGAAGCATCAGAAAAAGTGTAGCACCAAAAACAATTTAGGAGCACCAGAAAAAATGTAGGCGCATCAGAAAAAAAGTTAAGAGCACCAGTAAAAATTTAGGAGCATGAGAAAAAAACTTAGGTGCATCAGAAAAAGTGTAGGAGCACCATTAAAAAAAATGTAGGAGCACCGGAAACAAATTTAGGAGCACCACAAAAAAAAATTAGGAACACACACACAAAAAATAAAAAAATAAATAAAAAATTAGGAGCATCAGAAAAAACTTAGGAGCATCGGAAACAAGTGTAGGAGCACCAAAAACAATTTAGGAGCACCAGAAAAATTTTTTTGGAGCACCAGAAAAAAATTTATGAGCACCAGAAAGTGTAGGAGCACCAGAAAAAAATTAGAAGCATCAGAAAAAAATTTATGAGCACCAGAAAAAAAATTAGGAGCACCAGAAAAAAAAAATTAGGAGCACCAGAAAAAAAATTAGGAGCACCAGAAAAAAAAAATTAGGAGCACCAGAAAAAAAAAATTAGGAGCACCAGAAAAAAAATTAGGAGCACCAGAAAAAAATGTATGAGCACCAGAAAAAAAAATTAGGAGCACCAGAAAAAAATGTATGAGCACCAGAAAAAAAAATTAGGAGCACCAGAAAAAAAAATTAGGAGCACCAGAAAAAAAAATTAGGAGCACCAGAAAAAAATGTATGAGCACCAGAAAAAAATATTAGGAGCACCAGAAAAAAAATTAGGAGCACCAGAAAAAAAAAATTAGGAGCACCAGAAAAAAAATTAGGAGCACCAGAAAAAAAATTAGGAGCACCAGAAAAAAAATTAGGAGCACCAGAAAAAAATATTAGGAGCACCAGAAAAAAATTAGGAGCACCCACCAAAAATGAATGAGCACCACTGCAAATTGTATATTAACAGATTTATTGTATTTGAAAACAACATCAACTAGGACCAACAAAAACCAGAAACAACCATCTAGCTAACGCTGTGATCACTTTTGATATTTGTGCAATAATTGCTAAATGAATGTTGAATAATTAATAATTGATGGTTGGCATCTGCAGTAAGAAATATTTATTTTGCACTGTTGTTTTTATATGTCAATTTAATAAAGACTATTTCTGCTGGAAAACAAACAAAAGACTATAGTAAATCATTCAATTCAAGGCTGAAAGCTGCAAAGCAGTCATCAGTAAATAAATAGAAAAATAATATACATCTCAAGAAAGAACAGACAAAGGAAGAAAACTCTCACTTCTGCCACTCTTTATAAGTTTTGGTTTGGGTTTGTGTCATTTTTAATGCTCAGTCTCATTATGCGCTGATTTACATTTCTCTGTGTTTGTGGGGAATAAAGCAGGTGAGTCCGCTGGCCCAATATATGAGAGGGGCAGAGCAGGATTCTGGCGATGACCACCGGCGCAATACCGCTCTGTTATGAGCCGCAGTTTCAGTTTAAAATGAAAGGCGATCGTCTTCAGTGTTCAGTTTTAGAATATCACAGATTAAATTTTGAGTGGATATGCGACCAAAATTGTCGCAATTGCGAGCCTGGGGGCTATTCCAGAAAGCAGGTTATGTGACATACACGGGTAAGTTTGAGAGTAAGTAGGTGGATAACCTCAACTTTGGTTCCAAAATCGGAGGTAACTTCTGGGTATGTTAAGTAGCCATAGCAACTTACTCTGTGAAGATAACCTGCTCCGGAGCAGGTTATGTTCAGAGAGTAAGTTGCTATGTTCCAGAGTTTGTCTGTTTCAGAGAGTTTACTGAGCATTGCGTGCTCTTTTGATGAGAATATTTATGGATGTGGACACACAGATACAAGTTTTTTCGTTGTGAGAGGGTTATAAGTGCATAGTTTTTTTCATAACCAAATTTATAATGTTAATGTATTTAACAAACCTTTTTGAAATCAAATGTGACAAACCGCGGGTCTGCGCTTACCATAAAAAACATTCAGTGCAGCTCTTTGTATTCGCGTCAGGGCATTTTAGGCAACTGTACAATGTGGCAGTAGGACCACCTGTACAGTACGCCTGGCACTGAACTGTTTTTTACACTTTTGTACAGTTCCTTGGTCATACATTACTGTGTATCATTACACAGATAATTTAGAGCACGGGAATAGCGTAGTGGATAGTGCGTCTATAAAGAACAACGGAGCGCACAGCGGAGCGAGTTCGAATCTCACTTATAGATCTTGTGTTTTTTCTCTTCTTCTGCACCCTCACATTTTTCTGTATAATATTATAAGTGGCAGCTTTGTCTTTTGTAGGAAAATATATCTTTAATTTAAGATGTAGGACGTCGTTCTTATATATACATTCACGCACACACACCTACATTTTTTAATATAATATTTTTTTCAGGGTTTCTAAATGCTATTGTGTGCATTAATTGCAGCCGATTTTAAAGCTCCATCAGTCACTAAAGGACACTGATAATATAAAATTTGTCCAAAGTATAAGTGTGCAGGTACAACTTAATTTTCTATCCTTAATCTTGGTGTGAACTTATTGCTGCTTCCACCTACCAGCTCATATGTGATGACCCCACCTCATCACTATGTTGAGGCTAAATGGCTGATTTTCAGGAAGTAATGATTCAAGTGTATAACACAAATATAGTAAAAAAAAAACTATAAAGCAATTGTTGCTTTACACAATGTTTATTTTTATTATATTTGTATTATAAAATAGAATCATTACTGGGCACTACATTGTTACTTGCTGGAGGACAAAAGATACCCTTTTCTGCCTTATACGATGACACGTACCTGCAGCCTGACCCAGAGGAAATCTCAGTGACCCAAGCAGACAAAACAGATGGAAGAGTGCTAAAAATATATAATTAGTCAAAAAAACATGTTTAATCAAATATTTTGGTCTGTTCATTTCTTCATTTCCTGAAATAAAATGAATGATTTTGTACACTGCTTTATACACACCTTTCAACGTGTAACATATTTTTCATATACATTTCTCACCTTAAGTTGATGCTCATGTGACTTTATCTTTGAAGATGGACCTTATACAGCTACTTTACAATTTAAATATGTAGATAAAAGATTTTGTGATCCAAGAGTAATATTCAAATATGGAAAAGTGCAGAAAATTCTTACACTGCTTGTTAGTTGAGGCAGAAGGAACTTCGTTTGCATGCAAAATAAAAAGAACCTAAAGCTATCTGACAACAATCACTTACAACAGTGACAGAGTGTGTGGTTTAAGTCAAAAACTCAACCACTGAAAAGCCTTTATTATAGGACACAGCAGTTAGACAGGCCTCTTTCTATTAGCTGCATGTCAGAAAGAATATTCTAGAGTGTTAAATAAAGAGCTCCAGTAATTAAATATTACCTTTTATGATAATGTTTCTGTGTTTAATGACTTTGGACAGAGTTCTAGCTCCAGAAAGATTACAATTTCTATAAGCCTTATTAGTCAATACACATATTGTGGCCTTAAGAAATTAATGGCAAGAAAAATAAATGCATGAATGGTTACACAACATACTCAAAAAGGATGTTAAAGAGTAGTTTAATTTATCATTACAATAAAATGGAGGGTGGCATGTGTAATTTAATGAACTAACAAACTTTCTTATTATTTATTTTTTCTTTTCTTATCTATTTCTTATTCTATATTTCTTTCCTTCGTTGAAGCAGATGTGTAATCTCTGTGTTTAAAACCTCCAGCTTCGCCTCTGTAAAGTGCGTTGCCCTTTTTTTCCTCACCGTGACTTTTTATGGTGACTTGTGAATTCGGCGATCTATTGAAAATGCCTTCAGGTGTGTGCCGTGCACGCGCATTAACCCGCGGTTATCTTCAGGAGGTTGATTTAACTAACTCTTGTCACCTGTTTTGGAACCAACATACTCGCGGTAAGCAGGTTTTGGGTAAATCAACCGAGAGTTTAGGTTTTAGCAGATGGTAAGTTAACCCAGCTTTCTGGAATACCCCCCTGGTGTGCTGACGTCGCGGCTCTGTTGTCAAGCTACCACACCACCTCACATGATATCACATGCTCGGGTCCTGCTCTCAACATATAAATAAAGCCAGGCAAATATTAGACTAAAGGCCTGCACTTAACACTAATTAAAAATGTATCTAAAAAATTTATCTTGTAAATGTAATACCTGGTCAGACTGCATCTTTGTGTGGTTTTAATGGAGCCTCGCCATCGCTTAAGTCAACCGCTTCTGACTTTTTTCAAATATATAACCAACCTAAACCAAAATATTTAACACACACACGCCTTGTCCCATTGACACATCGACTGAAAGATATATAAAATAAAGAGGCGTTTTGAAGTGACAGAAAAACACATACCATGGTAAATACTGCACACAGTCTAACTAAATGAAACATATACGGCTCCCGATTAGAATCGACATGCAGATCAGCCAGCAGAGTGTCAAAAACAGACTTTAATTGGTCATTTTAGGAAATTGCATGACTTTTAAGCTTACACCTGTTAAGTTTCAAGCCAGTCATCTGGTTTGCTCTATAATGGAGTGAAGTGTTGTGTGTGTGTGTGTGTGTGTGTGTGTGTGTGTGTGTGTGTGTGTTTGTGAGTGAATTGAAGAGCCGCTGAGCTAACAGCTGACAGGTCGGAAACACACACACGCTGTATTTCTGACTGCAGACACAAACTAGGAGAACGTTTTTTCCTCGCGCTTGATCCACATCAGACAGAATAACGGCTTTAACACACACCTTTCAAAGTTGTGTCACAAAAACACTCCGTAATCCACTCAAAATGTTATTGAAACCCATTTTCGGAGTGCAAATTACCAGATATAAACGCTGTAAACGGAAGTTCTAAACATTCTACGGGAAGACGCTGGTCACTATAGCGCCCTCCATGCAGCAGCCAAGAAAAAAAAGTCTATAAAACAAATAGGATTGATTTGATTCTACCTTATATTTTTGCATTTAAAAGCTTCATTATGGATGTGTCAGATGTGAAACTGGCTCTTGTGTGACTTTGGCAAATCAAATATAATAGTTTGAAAACAGACCGACATATTTGAGTATATTACAGTACTGTAAAACACAAGCCTACTCAAACATCCTAGAAAGGGTTTCGTTATTCTGCTGAAAACTTAATTTCGTTCATGGTAAGGTTGACATTTGCATGGAATTGCTCCTATAATCTCTGCGGTTTATGCCGAGTTCAGACTGCGTGATTTTAGCCCTGATTTTGGCTCGCCGACAGGTTTTGAGAAATCGCAGACAAATGCCTGAAATTACAGGTAAATCGCTGCTCGTGCACGTGAGTGACAATCACACAGTATGAACTATCAAAGACGCGATCTGAGAGAATCGCCGATGCCTGCGAGATATTTGGCGTGCTGAATATCTGGAGCTGTCGGCGATTCAAATCATGTGTGTGAATTGAGTTTTGACTGAAAATAAGATCAGCGATCGCCTACAGCCAATGAGAGAGCGGCATTCACTTGTGTGTGTGTGTGTGCGTGTGTGTATACCTGCTGCAGGCCAGCGGGAGGCTGGGGGAGAAGGTAAAAGCGCTCTTTTTCGGTTTATCTGGACCCACGAAATGGAGGAAAAACTACTGGAGGTTTGACAGGAGCAACCGTGTCTGTTTGACGTTTCATACAGAAAGAAAATTGTTTATTATCAACTTAAGTTGAGGAGAAATGGCCAATTCCCTTTAAATCCAGGTGAGCAAACATGTACATTTTCTACCCCATTAAAGGCTTCTTTCTCATTATGTAGTTAATAACGAAAGATATACTACGTGTTTTTGGCTGTGAGACATAGTTTGGATGAACTTGTCGGCGATTCTTCCTATGGTAAAGTCATGCAATGTGAAAGCCCCTGTCGCAGATCCATCTTGCAGTGTAAACAAAGCAGCGACGAAACGCTGGCCCAGATAGTCAAGCAGTGTGAAAACATCTGTGACACGACTAGTTTGAAAATCCTGCAGTCTGAACTCGGCATTAGTGTGTCTGCATGTATAAATGGTCTCACCGTGAGCAGATACTCCACCGCTCGGTCAGGATTGTTGAAACTGGCCCTCAGCGCTGCCACCACGCGGTCTCGCTCATATCCCATCAACATGATCTCCGTCACCATGTTCTCATAGGACTGACCTGTTACTGCAAACACAACACATGACATGACCATCGTGTGTGCAACACAACAACTGATCATTTAACCTAAAACACCAACAGCTATGTTTCATCCACCTATTTCTGAGTATTGTACAGGACTCCCACTCTTGAACACCAAGTTCAATGACTCTAAAGGCCTTTTTAAATAATTAATAACAACACATCCAGCAGGCGTCACGGTGGCGCAGTGGATAGCACAATCGCCTCACTGCAAGAAGGTCGCTGGTTCGAGTTCCATAGTCCAAACACATGCACTATAGGTGAATTGGGGAAGTTAAATTGTGTGTAGTGTATGAGTGTGAATGGATGTTTCCCAGTAATGGGTTGCAGCTGGAAAGGCATCCGCTGTGTAAAACATGCTGGATAAGTTGGCGGTTCATTCCACCGTGGCGACCCCAGATTAATAAAGGAACTAAGCCGAAGAGAGAATGAATGACTGAATAATTGCTTCAGTGAACAGTGTTAGAGATGTGAATGTGTGTATATTTACCCAGCGCAGACGTCGCCTCTTCAAATATGTTTGCATTGGGTAAAGAACCAGAACTGCAAGAAAAGAAACCAAAGGAAGATGTTAAAGCTCAATATAAAGCAATGAGCACAGCAGTGAGAGCTTTACTTTTCTTAATGTCAATGTTTTCAGTATGTTTGTCGATTATTGCATCATATTCCAGCGGCTTCATTTATTGATGATTTTTTATTCATTCATGCTTTTAAAAGCGTGAAAGAAAACACGTGCTGCTGTGTGTGTGTGTGTGTGTGTGTGTGTGTGTGTGTGCGCGCGCGCTTAAATGAGTTTTTTGAGGGAGTCAGTGAGAGAGTGTGTGTATGAGTGTGTGCACATCTGTTGTGTGTGTGTATTATGCTCTGTGCACACCAGACGCAGCAAGCGTGGATAAATTGCACTATCTGCGAATAAACAGACGCGTGAACATTTAGCGCAGAGCGCAAAACGCAGCGCGCAAACGCTTTCAGGGCATGTCAGAACGCATTTTTTCTAATTTAAGGACGGGAAAATGCGCTTTGCGCCGTGGCTCATGGTCTAAAAGGGTTGAGTTTATTCTCTTAATGAGTTATAGGTGTGTTTTGAGAATAAATCAATCAGAGTCTCATCTCCCATTCCCTTTAAGAGGCAGCTGCGTCGCGCCAAGAGCGCATTCGCTATTTACAGGACGCAAAGTAAGTCTAAGTGGAAAAACTGAGCATTTCACAAGCAAACAGTTCACAGCTTATTAACAGAAAACAGTTAAACAGAGCATCTCCTGCGTGAGAATGAGAGATAATGGATCACTTTCACTTTTGGATAGGGAAACCTTTACGCAGACATCAATTAGTCTATAAATAATTATTTGCGTTTATTAAGAGCAAATATCAGTTTCAAAACTATTTCTAAATTCAGTTCTAATTTCCAGCAAACTAATAAATGAACAATAATAACAAGTTATATCCCAATACACCTGCTGCCCCATATGGTCTAAAACTTGCAGGTGGGCAAATCTGAGCTTGTTTTTAATAAAGCAAATATAAATATGGATATAATAAATAATACTGCTAATAATAATAACATTATACAAAAGCAAATTGTTATGAATGAACTGAAAAAGCCTCCCGAGATGAAGACATAAAGCAGTGGTTTTTCATATTTATGTAGGCTGGAAAATAATATGTTTTGTAATATTTTAATCCTTTATATTTATATCCTATATCTATTCTTATTATATCCTATATATATCCTTAATATTTAAATGTTTTCACATGTAAAGATGTTTGCCTATTGCTCTCTTGTGTGTATTAAGCAGTGTGTAAGCGAGGCGCAACTCTGCGCTGGAGTTTAGACCGGGTTAGTTTTGGTCTAATGAAAAATCTATTATAGTTTCTCAAAATAGCAACGCGCCAGCGGTCCGCCTCAGAACACCTTCCTTTTTAGAGCAGAACACCTATGAGCGCACATATGAGCGCTAATGCATTTGCTATTTAAACAGCGTAGCGCAACGCCTCAAAACCACTCTTGCACCAAGCTGAAACTACCAAAAGACTATTGCGCCGCGCCTTGCGCCACACTGCGCCGGGTGTATGATAGCGCGCTTAGAGTTTACTCGCTTCACTCACGCATCAAATTCACTTCACAATACAGGGTTCTTACACATTTTCCAACTACAAATTCCAGCACTTTTCAAGCACTTTCAAGGTACATTTGTATGCTTTTCCTGCAAATAAGAACCACGGCTAATTATGTTTATATATATATATATATATTGTATGTATTTTTTCACATTCAAATCAATTGTGCTATTTTAAAAAAATAAAATTTATTGAGCACTTTAAATTTATTGGAGATATTTTGGATTTATTGGGATAGTTTACCCAAAAATGAAAAAAAAAAAAAAACTAAAAATGCTTTTAAGTTTGGTCTCTTTCTACGTAAAGTTGATATCTCAAGAAATGAGCTTACAGTCAGATTTTGTTTGGGTGTCGTACATGATATTTCATGTGCATTGCTATTTCTTCTTTACAGTCATTGGATTGTCGTTTTAGGTTTAAAAATAGGTCTATAAAAACCTGACTTTACACATTTAGTTGTCTTAAATTTCAGATAATCAGTTTAGAAATACAAATTCAAAACATTTCTAATAGAATATAATCATTATTAATAACTTACAATTGTTAATAATTCAATTTAACACAATTCGAATTCAAATTGTTTTGGCATTTATTAGCTCCATAAATGTGAGCATGCGGTGAACATTTTGCAATGAAAACTGGTCGCACGACAACAATTTATCCACTCGCACAAATGCTCCCAAATATATTTGGGATCACATATTAAATATGTAGGTCACATAGACAAAATTAAAACATATATATTGAGGTCACATAGACAAAATTGTGCACATATGCAACCAAAACAGTCACAATTTCAATCCTGCTGATTCAAGCAGGTTCAAGCAGTTCTTCTAAAATCCAAGCACTTTTCTAACCTTGAAAACACTAAAATAAAAATCAAGCATTTTCCAGGATTTCCAGCACCCGTAAGAACCCTGAAAATAGACGTGGATTTGCATGATGAGCAGGGTTTCTGTCTGTCCGGTGACTCTAGCTTCATTGCTAAATGGCTAACATGGATTTTAATGAGAGAAGGCTGTGTTTGTGCTTTATGAAGACTGAAAAACAGCGTTGATTCGTTTGGAGTCGTGTCCGAGTCCACTAGATCCATTCAGAGGTGCAGCGGCTCTAGAAACTACACCTGGATGATGGAGTCTTTCAGCGGTGCTTCAGACTGAGCGCAGCCCAGTTTGATTAACTGTGGATTTCCAACAAGAGGATTTCCCCCCTGGCACACCAACAACAGGTGCTATGTCATAATCACGCCCGCACATAAGCAAGCTCCTGATTGGTTAACGCAGCGCAAATGTTTTTGGGCTCGAGTGATTCACGCGTTAAGGCTGTCAATCGCACGAAACGCTCAACCCGTGTCACTTTATTCGCGAGAATTGCGTCAATAGCGCCATATTCGCGCCGCAGGATGTGTATTCGTGTCTTAACCCGAACTTAACATGTAAACCACTCGCGCTTGATGCTTCTTCTGCGTATTGTGAGTATGAGTGTGTGTGTGAGTTTAAATGAGTGTGTGTGCAGTTGTGTACCTGACAAGTGTAGTGGTGGGTGCTGGGCATGTGTGTTTGTGTGTGTGTGCGCGTGTACCTGACAGATGTGGTGGCTGGTATTAGATATGCTGGGTGTGTGTGTACCTGACAGGTATAGTGGCGGGCATGAGGTTGCTGGGCCTGTGTGTACCTGACACATGCTGGGCACGTGTGTGTGTGTGTGTGTGTGTGTGTGTGTGTGTGTGTGTGTGTGTGTGTGTGTGTGTGTGTATGTGTGTGTGCCTGACATGTGTAGTGGCGGGCACAGGGTCCAGGCTGGGTGTGTGTTTGTGTACCTGACAGGTGTGGTGGCAGGTGCTGGGTCACTGCTGTGTGTGTGTGTGTGTTTGTGTGTGTGTCTCTATCTGAGAGGTA